GTGCACGTGCACCCTGTGTTCCCCCCTGGTTACGACCATGAGGATTTTCCCTGACTTTTATTATTAATCTACCGCTAGGCTTGAACAATGCAAGTTTGTCAGTATACATTCATATAATTTACATATGACATGATTTTTCGTTGTTGTAAAAACCGGCTTTCATTACTCGGCAAGAACACAATATCTCAATTAGAAATGCATAAAATCATATAACTTCAATTCAGACGGCTTTATAAAATATTTCACCCTTAAATTGAATCGCATTTTCATCTTTACAGACAGTAAAAATGTAAATAAATTAAATACAGTTTAATTGAGAACTTCAAGACGGTCTGAGCGCTTTCACACTGATTGATAAACTTTGCTCACACAATGTGCTCAGGCTTGCTAGAAAACGTTATTTCAAGATATCCCGTTAAAAGGCTTTGTGTTTACATCTTCCTAAATGAGCATTAAAATCTTCAGCTTAAAGTTTACTTGTCAAAATAGAGATTGAAATTACTTAACAGAAGTATTTCCTCATACCCCCTCCCGGTTAACATTCAGGATCAGACCGGAAGTAGCATTAAGCGGATGACATGACAAGGTCTATTTATAAACTGATGTTTGACGTCTAGTCGTTGCTAAGAGAACGCCTTGGAGTTCGAAGCGATGGAGGTTCGCAGCGATGGTAGATACGTATACTTCCGCGTCATATTTGCTATTTTTCTACTTCATCGAACACAAGGTAAGACATCAACTGTTTTCTATTGTTAGTTCAATAGCTTTTTGCTCTTCTTCAGCTACTTTAACACATAACAATGCCGTGAAACCACAATTACTTTCAATATTGCCTTAGGTATAAATTCACGGYCAGTTCTCTACTCTTGATACAATCAAATCGATCCTCACAGTCCTGATATCTTTTYAAGCAGTCTTCCCGCTATCATTATATGCATCCTAGTGCATTTCTAATTCATTTTATTCGATAAAATTGCCAAGTTTAGTTAAATATGTATAAGAACTGAAGCTCCAAAGTCGTATAAAGATATTTCCAACGTCACGAAGATTAGGAACAGTCAAAAAGGAATTTGAGACGGACTTAAATCACTGTGTCTCCCTAGTTCTTGAACTTCTTGATCTGGTATCAAGTTATAGGATTAAGTTACATTTACCACTGAAGAATTTCAGTTTTGTTTGGAAATATTATTGTTTTTCTAAAGAATATTGTAACGATAGTTCCAGTTGTAACTCAGCAATTTTAACTTGGCAACTTTACATAGCTTGACACTGGTATGCCATAATATCAGTTAAATATTACAGTAATATTTTACCGTTATTGAGTACTGCTCTTCTATCATTCAATTTATAATATCAGTAGTAGGTTATTACAACTTTCATGTGGACTTTTATATGCACTCAAACCAATTAGAATGTTCTTAGAGGGAGGGGTGGGTAAATCTACTATGTCATTTCCGGCGGAACTTGTGGAACTCTAACCACAGGCATCCCAAGCTCAATATTTCAATTGTTTTTGTTAGAATTATAAGTTTAATAGTTAAACATTTAACTACCGTAAATCCTCTATTTAGCCCCCCAGGGGGCTTATTTGAGGGGGGGGGGGGGGGGCTAAATAGAGGATTTACGGTAGTAACAAATAGCCTGGGTTGCCAGTGTTTTTCCACACTAAACGACAATCTTTTATTGTTAATGTGCATGGATGAATGAGCACGGAGGACAGTTATGAAATTGCACCAAGGGGTGTATAAGGCTATCACACTCCCAGACCAAAAGGGCTTTGTTCCCAATTCATTAAAGACTGGTTTCAGGAGACTCATTCATGCAGCTGAGGAATGAAACTATTCAATGTGCAACCAAGCGTAACAATTAGTATAAAAGTAGGCAGAACACATGAATAGTTGCATAATAAGTTGCATAATGTCATTGACTTATTTTAAATGAAAACACAATGTCCTGTTATGGTTTTTCTTGGAGTTTATTTATGCTTTCTTCCCACCCTCCCTTCCTTAGAGTTTGACAAATTATGTAGCTGTCTGCTCCCTCTACTGCGGTGCCACATTTTCCCCATAACTCACTATTTATTTTATTGTGGAGCATTGTTTGCACTTTGAATATTTTACAATCACAACTATCTCTCTTTGTAAGCTATTGGAGTTGGGAGGGAGAAGGGCAGTAGCTGCTTGGTTATAAAGGCTTTGGGAAGTAATTTTAACAGCGTATTCTCATTTGGTTCCTGAGCATTGTGCTCAAGGGTACAATTCTTGCTCAGTAAGAAAAATGCGAACTCAGCAGATTTTGAAGTTCCCATGCCACACAAATTATTTGGTGCCTGAGTACAAAATTGGCTACAATTGTGAGCATGTTCTAACCTGTAATTGTGAGTTGCAAAGGTTATGAGCTAGTGAAAAAGCAGTTATAAATAACAATTAGACCCTTGACTCAGCCTGGATGGTCTTTGAATGGCCTTCAGCCTCATATGCTATTGAGTCGTAGATTATGAGAACGTTCACAGTCTCCAGTCTTCCTGTACCTTTTCTAGTAAAATATAAGGAACACCAATTGTTGAATAATGTAATCAGAATTCAAGTTTCGGATTAGGGATGTTTTTGAATTCTGAGTCATTCTTTGCTCTTAATTTAACATATTCTTGGAAAGAGTAATAAATTCAATATTCAAATGAAACCATTGATTTAACCTATGGGGTAAGCTTGAGCCATTTTGACTGCAAAATTATTTCATTAGAGCTTTTGAAATTAATCAAAGTAAAGCTTTGAGATCCTAATCTTTCATAATTAAAAAACAAATCGAGAAAGATGGCCTGGGGAGGTGTGGTTAAACCACAACATTACAAGAGATAGTATGTTTATTACAAACTATTATTTTATAAAGTATTGTGTATATGCATGTCTTTAAAAAAATCAAGCTCTAGAGAGGGGCCATGCAAAAATAATTAGAATTGCACAGCAGTTTTACAAAGGTTCAAAGGTTCAAAGGTTTTTATTTTTCCACACACAAAAAGCAAAGAATTACAAATAAAACTTAAGAAAGAAGTGGAAAGGTGCAGGAGGAACAACCCAAAAGGGGTTAACTAAGAAACATCCCGCACCAATGTAAACAATTTTAAAGAAATAGTGAATGGCGGAATATTATACTTACAATAAAATAGTAAACTGGCCATAATTTAAGTTTTGGTGAGGCAAATATAAATTCCTCTTCGTTTTAGAGCGCGTGTTGTAATCATGAATTAAATTTATATCTCTGAAATAGTTGACAAAAATATTAGGCAATTGATGATTAATGTGCCTGTACACAACCTCGCAAAGCTGGAGCTTTACTATCTCGAAGATGTTTAAGATGTCCAATTTTTGAAATAAAGGTCAACTAGGAGTTCTGAAATCTGAGAAGGTGATTWTTCTTAAGGCTCGTTTTTGTAAAATGTGAATAGGCAATAATCTTGATTTATAGTTACTTCCCCAAATTAATGAACCATAGGATATATATGAATATATGAAGCTGTAATAAAGATTTTTCAAT